TAAAAAGATGTGATTCACAGGCTGCCTGTGATGACGCTTTTATTCAGTCGACCAAAGGAAAAAAGATAGTTCGAAATGTTTAGTGCAAAACTGTTCCAACTTTAGCAGCAGCAAAACGCGGGAAAAAACTTTGAATTCAATTCAAATCAAACCCGCCAAAGGTTTTCTTCTCCTTCCCTCTCTCTTGACTGAAACCGAATGGCCACCGGCCCCTCCGGTCGCAGCGTAATCTCCGGAATGACGCCCACCTCCTCGAACCTCTTCTCCGCCGTCACGGTGAAACTCCTCATCAGCAGCGCCAACATCATCGCCACCTCGGTCATCGCCAGCTTTGCGCCGATACAACTTCGAGGTCCGGCGGAGAAGGGGACAAAGGCGAAGGGGTGGCTCAGGAAAGAGGTGGACTTCTCGATGAACCGCTCCGGCTTGAAGCGTTCCGCCTGCTCGAAGACCGCCTCATCTCGGTGGATGTTGTAGAGGAAGAGAAGGACCGAGGAGCCGGCGGGAATGATTTGATGATCACCGGGCACTTTGATGTCCGTCTTCGCCGTCCGGCCGATGATGGGCGCCGGCGGAAAGAGGCGCAGCGACTCCTTGATGACCGCATTCAGGTACTCCAGGCCTTTGACCGCCTTGCCGAGGTAGTGGGCCAGGGATTCAGTATCTTCAGCCTTTGAAAGGTTGTCCGACTCAAAGAGCTGGTCCACCTCCTCCTGAACGGTGCGCTGCACCTGGGGGTGATTCCCCAGCAGGAGCAGTGTCCAGGTGAGGGTCATCGCCGTCGACTCGTGGCCGGCCACCATCAGCGTCTCCACCTCCTCCTGAAGTGCCTCGTCAGACCAGCCATTTTGACCGGAAGTAGTGTCCTTCAGGTGAAGAAGAAGGTCGAGGAAGGCGTAGCGCTTTTTGGCGCCCGCTTTTGTTTGCAGCTCAACTTCCTCCTTTTTTTCCTCATTAGCTGCTGCCATTTCCGCCCTCTTCCTCGAGATGACCTCCTTGGTGAAGGAATGGACCGTCTGCAGGTCTCGCCGATTCTGGCGGCCGCTGACGCTGAAGTGTTCGTAGATGAGGCGGTTCCAGTGGTGCGGCCGTACCATCCGCTTCACCACATTCCGACTGACACGCCTCACCGCACAGGCGTACTCCAGCGCCGGATTCCGCTGGACGTTCAGCCTGACGCCCATAGAGGTCTCTGTACAAGTAGTGGTGGTGCAAACCATATGAGTGAGTGTTTTGTTTTTAAAAAATTCTGATGATAATTACCGCAGACAATGTCCAGGGCGACGTTGATCATCAGCGGGAGGACGTCCACGAAGGTACCCTCATGATGATCTCGCCTGATGATGTCCACCAGCTGAGCCGTCTGCTCGACGATGACCGGGTGAAAGCTCTCCAGAATGTTCACGTGGAAGGCCGACTGGAGCGTCTTTCGGCGGTGAGCCCACTTCTGGCCGTTGCTAATATTAAAAACAAACTTTTTAATAAATTGATAACTTTTTTTTTGTTTTGAAACAGCTTTCCTACCTCACAATCAGGCCGTCCCCGAGCCAGGGGCGGAGAAAGTAGTACTGCAGCGATTTGGTGGTGTTTGCCGCGCTGGTCAGAACCGCCTCCGCAGCGTCGGCCTTGAAGATGACTACGATGGGAATGTTGAAGGCCCAGTAGCGGAACAGTGAGCTGGAGGGGGCGTAGAACTTGGTGAAGGCGGTGATGGACTGCAGGAATTCTGGTAGGTAAGTAACAAAATGATAGTAAATTTTTTACAATGAAAACAAACATTACTGATAGGCTAATTACCCGTCAGCACATTAGCCCCCTTCCGACCGCTGATCAGCATCATTAGGTGGCTGAAGGGATTCAGCCAGCTGTTCCTAGGGCCGGGCAAACGATTGACCAGGACGGAAAAGCGGTAAAAGTGCAGCAGCTTTTGGGTCAACTTGAACAGCAGAACCAGCCCTACAAAGGCGATGGCAAAGTTGCGCAGTTGAGTGAAAATAGCTACAAAGTTGTTGATTGCCATTTTTTTAACTTTAAAGTGAATGAAAAACGACCACTTGTGATCTAGGGTTTAAATATAAATGCAAAAATTGGTGTTCAAAAATCAAAACGCTGATTTTTTGGTGTGACAGTAAACTTGTTGTAGAAAAAGAAACAAAAAATTTTGTTATTTAAATGATAGTAATTTTTGCGTTAAGCAATTTTAAAATAGCAGTTAGCTCATTTGCATTCACATGATTTGCAAATTAATCGTTTTAGTAGTTTTGATATTGACATAAACTTGTTACTTTGTGTGATTGGTTAAAAATTTGTCGTCACAGTTTTTTTGTTCACGCATTTATTTTTGTACTGAAAGTCAAAATTAGCACAGTACGAATGTACTTCTAACTCTGTTTGTCCTTTTTGGTAGATCACAAAAGTGCGTCAAAGAGAAAAATTGTTTAGCAGTAAAAAATTATTATTTTTTATCAGGTTTTTATCATGCACTTGCACGTCAACTATGGACGACAAAATTTTAAACATTGTATCAAAATGTATTCAAATTAAATTAACGCATTAATTAAAATTTTTATGTTCAATATAAAATGTAAATAATTTTTGCTAATGAAGCTGTGAGTGACGCAAGTGTTTAAACAACAAAAATTTTAAAAATAGTAACATTTTAGGATTTAAAAATGTTTGACAATAAAAAGCTTAGCTATCTTTGATTTTAAATAATTTATCCGAACTTCAAAACATTTTTTAAAATAACTGAAAATGTTTGTTGAACATGCTCAAGCAGCTGAAAATGATCCAAACCGCTGGGAACTTTGGGTGGCAAGGTAAGTAATCAATTTGGTTTTTATTTTATATAAAAACTCAATTTTATTTTTTATCAGTTTCATTTTAGCCGTTTCAACACTGCCAGTCGTCATTGGCACAACTTTAGATATTTGCCAAAGTTACTATAGTTTTCGATCGCATCGCAAGCAAATCGCTTTCAAGTCAGCTAAAGCTGGTTCACCACAAAAAGAGCGTTTTCAATGGATCACAAAATTCCTAACCTCATGCTCACTACTGAACACCACAAGGCAGCTTTTCAAGCTTCATCCAAACACCATTTCCAACGATAACCACCATCACCATCACCATCACCACCATCAGTTTGCCTTCATCAACGGCGTTCGAGTGCTTGGATCGTTGATCGTCCTGGTCAGCCACATTGTCACCATCTTTCCGCTGTACGGCAGGGTCAAAGTGGGCGAATCACCCATTTTCGGCTATCCCGACGTCCTTCAGAACATCACCGGAAAGCAGCTAATAGGGCAGCCCTTCTTCAACGGCGGCCTCTTTGTACAGACCTTCTTCACAGTTAGCGGCATGCTGCTGTCGTACAGTGCACTTCTGCCCAATAGTCGTACAATACCCTTCTTTCCGTACATTTGGCTGCGGGCTGCTCGCTATCTGCCCCCCTTGATTGGAACAGTTTGCCTGACTCTGGCGGCTGAACTGTACTTCACTAGTGGATTTTGTTTTTTTCAACAGCAGTTACTAAGACCGTTTTCAGAAAAGTGCCTAGGTGGAGGATGGTGGCGTAATCTTCTCTTTATCAGCAATTTTTCTAATCTGAATGATCAGGTAAACAAATAATATTTTTGTAGTTTTATCAAGCAGACACTTACAACAACAACCTTTTTTCCTCACAGTGCGCTCCTCACACCTGGTACCTTTCAGCGGAAATGCAGCTTCACATTTTTGCTTTCACTCTTCTGCTTGCTTACCGAAAATTTGGCTCTAAAATGACGTACTTAATTTCTGGCCTCTTTTGTACAGTAGGAACTGTGGTCATTTTCAGCATCATTGCTCTGGGCTTTAGCCCGGTGATTTTGCAGCAAATTCATCTTTACTCGCAGTACAAGTAAGTCAGGAATAGTTAATCTTTAAGATTAATTTAATTAACATTTTTTTACTTATAGATTTCAAAACAGCTTTTTCAATCTTCTATATCTTCCACCGTACAGCTATTTTGTCGCCTACTTTTCCGGAGCCATTTTGGGCCAATTTCTGCTGGAGGCAAAGTGGACTAGCGTGGCAACAAAGTTCAACAATGAAAAAACCTTTAAAGTTCTTTCCCTCATTTCAACAGCTATCGTCATCACTTGGCCCTTTCTCACGTATCCGCTAGCAACTGAAGACAGAGTTCTCTTCACTGAAAACTCACTATTTTTGGCCTCTGTTTACACTGCCTATCACCTTCTCTGGTCTCTGGGGACCTCTTTTCTCCTTTTCCGCTGTGCAGCTCAGCCCAGCTGGGCCCTGGCCCGTTTTCTCTCTGCGCCCATCTTTCAGCCCCTTTCCAGGCTTTCCTTCAGCGTCTACCTAGTTCACTACGTGGTCATCCCGTACAGTGTTCTACGGTCGGAAACGGTGCTGCACCTGGAACATGCGGGAGAATTCGTAAGTGCTTTGTACATTTTTTTTGTTTATTTTATAAGCTGTTATTTGTTTTGTTTTTATGAACTTTTTGTTGTTGATTTTTGATTGTACAGGAGAAACTGCTCTACCTGGTCATCGTTTACTCGCTTCTACTGGCTTACCTTTTTCACGCCGTTTTTGAGGTGCCATCAGCTAATTTGCTGAAATTGATCTTCAAAAGTAGCCAGACTGAAAAGCTGAAAACAAAAAACAATGTTATGAAAAATGAATGATTTTATTCAATAAATTTTACCAGTACTTGTTTGAAATTTAAAATATAAAAATTATAAATTGTTGACAACTTTATTATTAATTGCCTGCTTACCAGTAAGCAGTCTGCCAGACTGTCAATCATTAATCAACTCCGTTTCTCCATTTTTACTTTCTTAATTACGGCACAATAACAGCAAAACAAAAACGTAGTTTCCTTTCTTTCAAATGCAAAAACAAAATAATTTAAAATGTTTTTACAGACTACAGTTATATGAAATCATTTTCCAAGCAAAACTTCTTCCTAACAACATCAACTAACCAACAACAAACTTTTAATTTTTATTCTACAGAAAAACTCAATTTTTGAGTTTGAAAAGCAATTTCCGATTTTTTTGCTTTTTTTGTAAACACAAACAAACTAAATAAAATAAATTTAAATTTAAATTATTGTCAGTTCAACTGCAATGGCCAGCATCATCGCCAATCAAATTCTGCCCTATCAGGAGATCGCCTTCTACAAGGATTACTTTCGAACTCTTTATCAGATCGTCTACGACAAAAGCAGCAAAGCAAAGCGCAGCATTTTCACGCTGTACACCATCCTCTTTGTCGAACTGCTTCACTTTATCTACTTTTACCTCTCCGACGCTGACCTTTCACTTCCGGTCCAATTTCTGCACTACGACATCTTTCACATTGTACAGCTGACTGAGACGCTCTACCTGCTGGTCGTGCCCGTCTTCCTGATGACCGCCTACTACCTGCACCTGCTCTACTTCAACTACAATGACGTCAACTTTCTCATATTTAAGGTTATAATCCTCCGCCAAGATGGCTGGTTCCTCGCTTCGAGGTACCAGGACCAACAGATTTGCCGGTACTTTATTCGCTTCACACTCAATCTGGTCAACGGTTTTCAGCTGTTCATTCTCTTTATTGGTAAGAGGAGGAGATAAGTTGTGGAATTCAACTCATTTTTTATAATTTAATTATATATTTTGCAGACATTTTCATCTTGGCCACCGAGGCGCACTCCATTCACTTCTGGGCGACCCACGAGCCCAAGTTCCTCTTCAACCTCTTCGCCTGGTACAAACTGCTGCTCAACGAGCTTTCCCTGCTCCTGCTCTACTGTACGGTGCTCATCTTCGCCCACACCTGTCTGCTGATGGCCACGCTGGGCATCATCTTCATTCGCCTCTTCTACGTCAAGTTGGAGCAAATTCACAAGATCATCTGCGTCCCACTAAAGCCTCAGCCTCCTCCTCCTCCTTCACCACCTCCTCCTTTTCAATTCGTCACCAAAAAGCCCCTTCCAACTGTCCTCAGGAAGAAGTTACCTTCACCACCGAAGCCGTCTCTAACCGTACCGCTTATCAACTACGGCGCCTTCCTCCGCGAGAACGTCCACTGCCTAAGGACAATTGTCCAGGCGAACTCCATCTACGGGAAGGCACTCTTCGTCTTCCTCCTGATCAACTGTCCGCTGAACTGCGCCCTGGTGGCGCTCCTTCTCCTCGGCCAGCAGCAGCTCTTCGTACAGCTCTTTATACTCGTCTTTGTGACGCAGCAGTTCATCGCCATACTGCTCATTCACCTGCTGGTGGCTCGGTTGAATGGACGGATTCACCTTCCTGTAGTTAGGATGATGCACCTGGCGACCAATGATCCGAGAATGGCTTTGGATGCCTCCTATAAGAATATTCACTTTCGTTGGAGGATTGCCGCGTACATTGAGGCTTTTCACGTGGAGTACTTTCGCCAGTACGGAATCAGGTACTGGCGCTTCAGCATCATCACCATTGTCACCTTTTGTAAAGTGAGTTTGTGCATGTTAAATGTTTTGTTTTTAAAATAAGTTTTAAAAAAATGATAAACTTTGGCTTTCTTTCTTTCTTTCTTTCAGTACCTTGGACTTTACTTTCAAGTCCTCCTCTACAGCTACAAAATGTTCACTCTGCGGAGTTTTGTTTGAGTGCGTTTGTATTGAGTTGTTTTTTATTTAGACGTTATCATACTCTGACAATTTATTTTTTATTTTGTTTAAATTAAAGTAAAAAAGTCAATATTGACAATAAAAAAAGCATTACAATATTAAATCGATTACAAGGTTGCAAACTTATAAAATGACAAAAAATTTTGTAGTTTTTTAACAAAACTAGTGTAAACCAATTACCAAGCAATTGCTTTTTGTTTTATAAATGTTAATTGCTACATTTTAAAGTTTAAAATGTTGCCCTCATTAAAAAATAAATAAATAAACAGCAACTTTCTTCTTCTTCTCTATGTACACTTTTGTACATTTAATTCATTAAGTTAATTAGCAAAAAATGCTTTCTCCTTATTATTTTAATGCCATTTTTAAAGTTATTTAACAAATAAAATTTTTAATGCAATAACAAAATTTATTTTTTTAAAAACACAATTTTTGTCGGTTAAAAAGTGCTCAAAATAAAACAATGGACATTTTACTGCGCCAAGCGTTGCCGTACAAAGATCTAAACTACTTTCGAGTATACTTTACCACAATGCAACGGATAACCAGCAAACGCAGCTTTGCCAGCATTAGGTGAAAGAAAAAAAATGACACAAGTTTTTGAATGTTTGCTTTTAGCTTTTTGTTTCGTTAACACCACTTGTGTTTTTTTGCAGAGCCATTTTGCCCCTTTTGGTTGCAGTCATCTACGAGCTGCTCCACTACGCCTACCTTGGTTTATTTAGTGAGAGCAGCAGTGTTGAGGCGCACTGGCGCCACTATGACACCTTTCGCCTCCTCGGCCTGACCAAAGACGCCCAGGGCCTCAACCTGGGCTTCTTTTGTCTGCTCCCGATGACCCTCTACTTCCTCTACCTGCTCTACCTTTCCCGTCACTCAAAGGCCACCTTTCTGCTGTATCATATTCTAGTTCTTGGGCAGTCCAATTGGTTCCTCGAGCCAACCACAACTACTACTTTTTTTGGTCAAAAGCTGCGCATTTCAATGGTCGACTACTCCCGAAGGCTTTTCCTGGGCGTCGTCAACGTGCTGCAAGTCTTTGCCGTAGTGATTGGTAAGAAAAGAGAAAAAATGTTTTTTATCATCATACAACTAAAAAAACATTTTTTTTGTTACTTTTTTCAGACCTCTTTATACTCGCCTCGCAGGCTCATGCCCTCCTTCATTACTTCGTTTATCAACAGCAAAGCAGCTTTCTGTTGTTGGTTGATTTTGTTGCTACTCAAGCTTCTCTGCTGTTGCGCTACGCCTTTCTGCACACCTACGCCCACGTCTGCATTCTGATGGCCACTCTGGGCATCGTCATTGGCCAGCTTTTCATTCTTAAACTGGGGCAGTTAAGGCGGATGCTTTTTCCACGTTCTACAAAACAAGCACTCTTTGGCCGATTCTCCCTCTACCGCTACTCCTCCTTTCTACGGGAAAACACCGCCTGCCTGACCTTCATTACCTCAGTTAATCGTCTCTTCAGCCGTGCCCTCACCGCCTACATCCTCGTCAACTGCCCGCTGAATGCAATGCTCATGACGGTGCTCCTCATGACGCCCACCACCAGGCACTCTCAGGCATCACTTTCAGTGGAGATTCAATTCTTCACCGTCGTTTCCATGCTGCAGCAGTGGCTGTGCACCTTTGCCGTCCACCTGCAGGAGGCGGCTTTAAATGAACGATTACATCGACCGAGCCGGCGGGCGCTGCATTTGGTGGCGACATTGGGCGGTGACCGGTGGGCGGAGAAGCACGGCAGACTGGCGGTGAAACTCAAGGTGGCGCAGTACATTGCCGCCTTTCACGTGCCCTCCACGGCCCGGTACGGCATCACCTACTGGAACGGGTCGCTCATCACCATGATGTCCTTTGCGGAGTTTGTCCTCCTGTACTCGCAGATCACTATGTACAGCTTCAAGTGGTTTCACGAGGATAGGCTATTGTAAGGTAAATGGATGATGATGATTGATTTTAATGTTTTTTCAAATGTTTGATGTTGAGCAACTTTTTGAACTGTTATTATCGTCAGTTCAATCAACTGTTTTGGTTGAACTGTTTGAACATGAACAGCAAACTGAGCGCTGACTGTTGATACTGAGCTGGCGATAGCAGATGATGATAGCAGTTTTTTTGCCTGATAAGGAAAAGTAGTGTCTGCAAAGCTGGCAGAAAGCTGTTTGCCGTTTTTTCTCTAAACAATTTTTTTCACTTGCTCATTTTTAGTGCTGCTTAAAATTTTGTGTTTACTTCATTTTGTTTTAAAAAAAATTCATTTAATTAAAAATGGCCAATCAAGAGAGCATCATCACCAAAGCTATCAGCCAGCTCAAAACTTCAGGTTACGCCCACATCTCCTCATTTTTAGACGCCGCCACAGTGGAAGTCCTCAAACGGGAGATGACCTCTCTCGTGGACGCCTTTGACCTTGAGGCTTTCAACCGAGAAAACAACAAGCAACTGTCTGTTTTTGTCGCCGGCGCCAAACAGAACTCCGACCAGTACTTTCTCGAGTCGGGCGACAAGGTACGGTACTTTCTGGAGAAGGACGTCCTAGACCCAGGAACCAGCCAGCTAACCGTTCCCAAGGAGCGGGCACTGAACAAGATTGGCCACGCACTGCACTGGCACTGTCCCGCCTTCAAGCAGGTGACCTTTGACCGGAAGGTAGTGCGGCTGGCGAAGGCCATGGGCCTAGCTGATCCGGTCATCGTCCAGTCGATGATCATCTTCAAGCACCCTCAGGTGGGCGGCGAGGTGGTGCCCCACCAGGACGCCTCCTACCTGCATGTGCTCCCGCAGCCGGAAGGGGCGGTTTTCGGCTTTTGGATTCCCCTGGAGGATGCCACGGTAACTGTTTAAGAATTTTGTGTTTATTGTACAAAACCTTATTTTTTATTTTTGTCTAGACGACCAACGGCTGCTTGGAGTTCATTCCCGGCTCTCACCAGTCGGTCCCCCTGGCGACTCGATGGATTCGAAGCACTGCTGATCCACAGGATGGGTCTGCGATTTCAATGAGCCACACCCATCCGGAGGCAAAGTACGGCGCCGACGAGGAGTACGTTCCAGTTCCGGCCAAATCCGGCGACCTCCTCCTCATTGACGGCCTGGTCGTCCACCGAAGTGCGCCCAATCGGTCGCCCTATCCGCGGCCGGTGTACACCTTTCACGTCTTTGACCGAGGGACAATCAACGAACCTAGAACTTGGGACCCCAACAACTGGCTCCAGCCGAGTGCTGAACTAGGTTTTAAAAGTCTTTATGATTGAGCGATTTTAATTTTGATGATGATGATGATGTCAATTCAAATGATATTTTTTTCCGGGTACTATTGACAGTTGTTGTAGACTAAATAGTTTTGGTTTTCAAAAACGTTTTCACTTGGCACAAAGAGCACAAATGACTAACCTAAAAATCTGTTTAGTACAACCGTTTTTTAAAAAACATTACGTGATTAAAAAATGTGAATCTAAAGTAGAGTAGATAAACTGCTGTTTGCACTAAATAAAACAAACAACAACAACTAATCAAATGAGTGCCATTACAATTGGATCATTGGGCTGCTGTGTACTGGTGTTAAATATTTTCACAGTTGCTGCTCTTCATTTCACTTCTGTTGTCACTACTGTAAACAACAACAGCGGCAGCAGCGGCAAATGTGTCTCGGAAGTCCGATCTACTGACCAGAGCAGCAGCAGCAGCAGCAGCCTAAGCATCAAATGCTTTCAAAACAAAACAAGCACATATTGAGGTCATCCAGCGTAAAACCCTGAACTTGTGCAGCAATGCAGTAACTGCAATGCTAATGTGTATAAAAGGCTCAAAAACTGAACACAGCACAATCCAATTTCAATTTTCCAAAAATTGTCTTTTTAGCATTTTTAAAAAACTTGATTCAAAAAATGAAATTCCTACCTTTTTACTTTCTTCTCCTCTTGGCAGCTACTAATGAAGTTTACTCCTCTTCCTTTTCCTCTTCTTCAAGCCAACAAGGTCCCCTGCACGACCACAACTCGGACTTCTTCGCCGAGCTGATCGCCTCTTCAGCTGTTGCCGCCGCAATGGAGGTCAAAAAGTCCGCCGCCGAGTGGCCGCGCGACCACGAGACCACCGACCTGGGCATCCTCTACGCTGAGCACGTCCCGATGAGCAACCTCGTCCGGCAGTGCCTGGCGGAGATTCCCTTCAAGCACCGGGAGCGGTGCCTCTTCCAGGCCTACGAGCGCTTCAGCGGCGCGCCGTACCCGGCGAAGGCTCGCTGTTGCACCAAGTGGCAGCAGATGGAGTGTCTGGAGCGATTCGCCTTCAATGCCGCCTACTGCAATGGAATGCAGCGACAGGCCGTCGGCCGCTACTTTGCCACCATTCGGTCGCTCAAGGCGGACGGCTCCCCCGAGTGCGCCACCTATCGACCGGTACGGGAGGAGACTGCCCTCTGGAGCAGCAGCCTGGGCCGGGTGGCCAAGTGCGCCACCGATGCGAGGGCCCCTATGAGGCTCTTCGTCAAGAGCATGGGCTGAAGAGAAGAGGAAATGAAAACTATTTAATAATTAAAAAAAAAGTTAAACTGCTTTGTAGCACAATTAATTGTTCAAAAAATTTTTCCTTAAGTTTTAAATGCCAAACTAGTCGATTTTTAAGTTATAACTTTGTAGTAGGTTGAAATATTAATTAATTAAGGATCTTGTTTACTTAAACGAGTAAGTGAGTGAATGAATGAGTGAATGAGCGTGACATACATGCTCTGTGTGTGTGTGTGTTCAGTTTTGTCAAAAGCGGTTTTGTTAAACAAAAATTAATAAAGCTTGCGGTAAGTATCCGGAGCAAAACAGTTTATTCAAAAATGTACCTTGATTGATTTTTTGTAAAAAGATTATAAAAAATAGTACAAACTAATTCAGCAGTGAGTATTTTTTGGCTTATAAATTATTCAGCATTTTTACTATTTTTACTGTTAACAACAATATTTTATAACTTTCAACTCTTGACAAACAACTTATTTGGAATAATATTAAAATGGCATATTTACTCAAAACCATAAATTAAATCGTTAATTTAAAAATTTTAAAAATAATATTTTTTGTTTTTAACTCTATTGTTTAAAAATTCATAATAAAAATGGTAAGTTATTATTATCATTTTTAATTTAAATTACTAATAAAAAATTTTTGTTTAATCTAGTTTTTTATTTTTAAAAAATTACCAACATTAAAAAGTTTTGCGAATAATTGCTAAAAAATTTTTAAGCAATTCCTTACGTTATTAATTACTAACAAGAAACCTAGACGTCAAATGGTGCAAAAAACTGTATTTTTACTTTCTTTATGTATTAAAAATGTTACCTGTCAAAACTGTCACATGTTACCAATATCATTACTGATCAGTGCCAAACATAAACGCGTAGCAAAATTACCTGAAAATTAATTAAGTCCAGAGCCGTCATTGTTTTTTCAATCGCTTAAAAGTTCAAATTTTTTGTTGTTGTACTTTTTCGCTTTTTATTTATTACCTTTCTTTTCCGTCATAAGGTTCTTTCTCTTTTTTGTTATGTTGCAACAAAATTCAGTATTATTTGCTTTTCTTTCTTATTTCAAACATTAGTTTTAACATTTGTACGGAATTCCCCAGCATTTATTGTACAACTTTTTTTTTCTTAGAATTTTATAAAATTACGAAAATCACAAACAACAAAAATCCAAAGATGGACTTCCTCAGCCAACTGACCGTCACCCTGACGCTCACCTTTTACCTCGCCCTCTTCAACTACATCATCTTCCGACCCGGCTCGGCCATCTATCGCTTCTTCTACAATCAAGTGAAGCACAATATGAACAAAAATCGGAGTTTTTACCTCATTCACGGTTTCCATATGCTTTTATACGTGTGCTACCTCCTCCGTTTCCTGTACATCATCTTCAAAATGTCCAAACAAGGAGATCAGGAGATCTTGTTGACGCGGTACAACTTCTTCTTCAACTTCCTCCGAGCCATGTCCACCGGCAAGGACTACTTCTACGTGCTCATCTTCATCATGTTCTTCCTCTTTGTGCTGCTCATCGAGCCCAACCTGCACTTCTCTCGCATTGACACCATCACCTGGTTGAAATATGATGATCTAGTGGTGACAAATTGCGACATCTACCAGCGCTGTCTGATCAAGGTGGCCACCAAGAGTGTTCGGAGAAAGAGGCCGAATACCTCGCATTCTGATCAGAGTTTGCTGCACTCTTCCACACCGGCGGAGTTCAACTTTGACCGGACGCTCTTCGCCCAGAGCCGTCTGCCCCATTTTGCCACGCTCTCCGTTGATAACCGAGTCAAGTTCATCCGGGCGCTGCACATCCTCGATAAGGCCTGTGCCGGCCAGGTGGTTCTCTTTGGTAAGTGCACAACACTTTAATTTGATAAACAAAAATGTTATCTTATCTTATCTTTTGCTGTTTACCACCACACACTATGTGTTTTATGTTCAGACATCTTCTGCACCGTCTTCATCGCCTACTACTACCTGGAGCACTGCAACTCCTATCCGCTGTGGTTTCAGCCCTTTCTCTGCCTGGACCTCTTCCTCTTCGCCTACATTCTCATGCGGATGATCCTCCTCGGCTCGACGCTGCTCCTCTGCTCCAACACCTGCTCCTTTCTCTACATCAGCCACATCACCGAGGCGAATGAAGCGCTCTCCAAGCTCTATGATCAGCTGTTCCACAACAGTAGCGATTCTTTCCTGAGCAAGTCTCTTTCTTCTTCTCCTCAAAACTCCCAAAGTCCAACGCTTTCAAGAAGTCCTAGCCCATCAAAATCTCCAACAAATTTTGGCAGCAGCAGCAGCAGCAGCAAACTGCTCACCACCCTCCATTACTTCCTGGTGGAGCACACCAAGATGGCCGTCGTCGTGCGGACCGTCGGCAGTGAGCTCTGGTCCCGGGTCCTCCTCATCTGCCTCGCCGTGCACGTCCCCTCCAACGTCTACCTCCTCTATCGGCTGCTGCAGTCGAAAAGCTTCACCGGCTCCTCGCAGATCACCCTCTCCCTCACCTTCCTCCTCCTCCAGGTGGTCATCCTCTCCGCGTCGATACTTCCGCTCGCCCAGTCCAGCACCGTCTTCCACCGATCCTCGAAGCTCCTGGCCGGCATTCAGCTGGCCATTGAGCCCGTTCACCTGCGCTACAAGCTGAAGACCGGCGAGCTGTACGAGCGCCTCAACAGCGAGGATCGATACGGGCTGACGGTCGGCTCCACGGGCACCATTACCTACCCGTATCTCTTTCAGGTACGCTTTTAGTACTAGTACTAGTACTCAGATCAGCCAATTGGTACTTTATTTTTAGAGCTCATTTGAGCGCTAATTTTACTAATTTCTTTCTCTCTCTCTCTCTCTCTCTCTCTCTCTCTCTCTCTCTTTGAAACATTTGATTTGATTTGCACTTGCAGATTGTCCTCCTCTACATTGCCTTCATCTTCAAGCTGTTTGACAGTTTGAGTTAACGCAGTAACGCTAAATCTAAGAAACATTGATTTTGCTGTAAAAAATAAACAAATAAGCAATTTAATCTAATTCTTCAGCTTAACCACCACCAAGTTAATGATTTCAATCTTCTCCTGGCGGTAGGCGACGTTGACGATGACTGAAAAGTGCCGAGTGGTCATCTGCTGCTGTTGATGCTGCTGCTCTTTAGTCGAATCATTCTTCACTTTGGCAGTAGTGGAAGTTTTAGAACCACCACCAAAAAATGATTCTAATGATAGAGGCGCCTTCTGCGGCATACACTGCCCCGGCTGGTTGACTATCTCACAGGCAAAGTCCGCGGGCTGGTACAGTCGGTGGGAAACCACGGCCTGCTCGTCGATGGAACGTC